CACCTCCCTGCTTCTGTGCCTCTGAGCGCCTTTGAAAAAAGGTTATTCCATCTCTTTTAAATCTATTCATCTTGGCAGTGTCTTAGGGCTCCCCAGCAAGCCTGACTCTTGGAGACTGTTATAATCTTGCTTTCTGCCTCTCCAACCCCCATGCCTAGCTCTGATGGTGCAGTTCTGCATATATTGGCATTTTCCATGGTGACATTACATTATAATGCCATCTCAGAAGACGCCATATCGTTGTCGTCCCTCCACACTAATTGTAAGGAAACTTGGGGAATTTTATTGCCAACCTCTGTTCTGACTGTGTGTGTGTGTGTGTGTGTATCTTCTCTATTTTTCAGTTAAAAAAAATACATGTGACAAACAGTCTCCATATACCCTAACCACCCAAGGAACATTCCATGCATATACAAAGTAAATGAAGACTGTATCAAGCAGCTTATTATTAATTATAGTAGTTAAGGATCTTCTACTCTTCATCTTAACACACTGCCCCAGAGTGAACCATTGGTAGCTGGTGGGCGGGAGGGACAACATTATCCTTTCCAGTGTAGTGAATAAGCATGTGCCATATAGTTTCAAAATTGTCTTTGGTCTTTGTGTTCCACCAGAGCTAAGTTAGTTGCTGTTTTCCAGTACTGTTAGGAGTGCCATATGTCTGGGTTTTCCCGGAGACATGTGGGAATCGGACTGACAAAATGGTGTCCGGGCGGATTTTTGCAGAATCAGCAAAATGTCCAAGAAAACGCTAACGTATGGCAAGTAGGACAATTTATTTTTTAAAGAAATGATTTTAAAATCCAAAAAAGCCCCCAAACAGCCTCAACCAATATACTGTTTCTCAAAATAACAGCAGCATATGATCCAAATGACTGCAGCAGCTTTCTTTTCTGGAGAAAGCATCAGCATCAGCAGCATCCCTTCCTCCAGCACACAGATGCAGCTTTGGCCAGAGGAGTAGTGGATGCTCTCCCTCGTCATCCCTCCAGTGCCTGCTAAGGAGAGGTTTCCAAGCGGGCCTCGCAGCCAGCAGTGAAGGCTGGGAGGACCCTGCAGGAGGGCCAGGGCCACCTTTCCAGCAGCCACTGCCTCCCCTCGCAGCTCTAGGGTGCAAATCACCGGTGCCCCACCAACAACAACATAGAAGTCCTTGCATATTGCTATAGAGAGGTGTGTGTTCTAGCGGGGAGCAGTAACCCCCTCCACTAACTACCTCACTGGCCAAGCTTCCTCCTCCTCCTCTGTTGACAGGCTGTGGGTAGGTGTGAGTGTGCCAGGAGCTGGTGTGCAGGAGAAGCATTGTAGGCTCGCATTGAACGTGCACAGACACTTGTGCCTCCCTGTCTGGTGTAATTATGTTTCCAGCTGAAGACATGAAAATGATTAGTAAGTCCTTAAACAATAAATTAATATGGTCATCTGTAAACAGATTTAATAAAGCTAGCCTCAGAACAGGTTGTACCACTTGTCTTGTAACAGAAGGAATTTCTTCAAAGACTAATTTCCAAAATAATTGTACAGGTTTGCATTGCATTGCATTGCATTGCATATGGATGTATTGGCCTATCTGCTGACATCCTCTCCAACATAATGCTTAATAATAATAATAATAATAATAATAATTGTATGCCACCCATCTGACTGGGTTGCCCCAGCCACTCTGGGCGGCTCCCAACAGAGTATTAAAAACACGGTATAACATCAAACATTAAGAACTTCCCTAAACAGGGCTGCCTTCTAAAAGTCAAATACAGTGGTACTTCAGGTTACGAACTTAATTCGTTCCAGAGGTCTGTTCTTAACCCGAAACCATTCTTAACCTGAGGCGGGCTTTCACTAATGGGGCCTCCTGCTACTGCCAGCGTGCAATTTCCGTTCTCATCCTGGGGCAAAGTTCACAACCTGGGGTACTACTTGCAGGTTAGTGGAGTTTGTAACCCGAAGTGTTTGTAACCCAAAGCGTTTGTAACCCGCCCGAGGTACCACTGTACAGTAGTTGTTTATTTCCTTGACATCTGATGAGAGGGCATTCCACAAGGCAGGTGTTACTATTGAGAATGCCCTCTGCCTGGTTCCCTACAACCTCACTTCTCACAGTGAGGGAACTGCCAGAAGACCCTCGGAGCTGGACCTCAATGTCCCGGCTGAACAACATTGGTGGAGACAGATGTGTAGTGTCATTTGTGAATTGTTTTAAAACTATTTTCTCTCATTTTAGCTAAATCTGACTTAAAAGGTCCCCCCCCCTCATTTTTGCCATATTGTGTTATCAATTTCACAATATAGATCTGATTCACAAATAGATTTTTATGAAATTAGATCCCCTGTCATTACATCACAGGTAATCTTTTAGATATTGAATAGCAACTTTTTTGATTCTATGTATAATTTAAAGTCAGTTGTTCAATAGTATTTAAGGGTCTGGTGGCTTGAGATAATACTGCTAGGTTAGCAAGGAAATATATAATTTGATGTATGGACAGCGAACTGATTTCAAGGTCACAAAATTGTATCATTTTCTGTACTCCAGTAAGAGGTTTCATTCCCTTATAGAGGTCTCTTTTTGTGTGTAGTCCCTTTTGGTTCCAGCCTTTGAAATGTGTTTCTCTAAAACTGTTACAAAACGAATAATTGTACACATTACTGGGGCCAAATTTTTGGATCTTGAGGTTCAAACTTGTAGGTCTGCTAAAGAAAAGGGACTCAGTATATTGTTGAGGACAATAGGCTGGTAAGTTAAATAGGGTAAGGTCTCAGCTCTATTTTTATTAAAACAGATTATTTTTTCATTATTACATGTGCAGGATCATGACCATAATAAATTTGGGGTCCCAAGTCTTCCCATATGTGTTGATTTATTTAAATTGGATTCTGCCATCTTGGTTTTTTGTTTTGCTGTTTAAAGTTAATTGAGGTAAATTCTGTTTGTTTGTTTTTTAATAATAATTATGGATTTGATCAGGGCATCAAAATTCTTTTTCTTGCAGAAATATTCTGTAGGATTCTTCTTTTTTATATAAAGTGCATTGGAAGGGAGTTAGCAGAAAACACACCCTCCACAAGAGAAAGAAAGGAAAAATCCCAGCTACCTCAAACAGCAGCAACAAACATCATCATTTCATTTTGGCATTATTATTCATCATTCCATTTTGGCGAGCGTCCCAGGGGGGCGGGGGGGGGGCCATGACACCTGGGGCGGACCGCACCCACCGCACCCCCCCCCTTCCTCTTCCTATGCCCACAGGCTTATATTCTAATAAACAAACAAATAAATAAAAATACATCACACAAGGGAAAAGGGGCAAGGAGGGAAGAGAATAAAATAAAAAAAAACCCTCAAGCCCCCTTGTTTAGACAGGTGTTCCTATCTCTCCCACTGAGGCAGCCTGACAAAATGGCTGCCCTCAGATGACAGTGGAGGGAGAGAAGGCCTAACGGAGCTGGCCTGTTGCAGCTCTGCTTCTCAGCTCTCCCAGTGGCTGCCCTTGATTGGCAGTCTCCTTTACCCATAAAATAAATAAATGGAGATCCCACCCTCACATATACACACTGACTCACCCACCCACCCCTTAAGCCTTAAATTAGTTATGCAATTTCTATTCTCCCAATCAATCAATGCTATTATGAACATCTACTGGTGTTTCTTAAGGGAAGAAATTACAGCCTTGTGATCTACAGCCCCACTTGCAGTTTTAATTATTTCCTTCATTGCTATAGTGAGGCCTCTACTCTCAAAGCAGTAGCTACATTCTGCCACTCCTTGCTAAGTTCCTTTTAAAAGTTGCTGTAAAAGCTCAACTGTTGGAGCGAATTCCTTCTCAGGCGTGGTTTGATTTTCATGCTATTGCAGGCCACTCTCCATTCACTGCTGGCCTGAAATTTTTAGATTAGCTGATCACAATGGGAAATACTGTAGGACTTTTTTCTCTTTCTCATCTCCAAGGCTCTGAAGCATTGTTTTCTTATGCTAAATCTGCAATAGCACACTGAGGGCTGATTAAGGTTGAAAAGTATTTTAATTTGGTGGTGTGAGTGGGATTAGATAATCTAAACCACCATTTTATGTGATGATATCATCACACACACCCCTTGGGTGTATAAGATTACTTTGTTCCCAGCTCTGACCTTTCGATCTGAATTGTGGGTTTGCTGGAGAATCTGTAGGTTAAATATCTGCATAGTTATATGCAATATGTTGTTTGGGATTAGATAGTGCCAGAAATGATCTCATAGTAATTAGACCAGGTTTTCCAAGAGTAAGTGTTGGAGCAAAGGGAAAACTGCTTGGGCCCTAGCAAGTATGAGACAAGTGGGAAACCACTTGAGCCCGTGCTTTCTAAGACAAGTGGAAGTATGGTCAAGCCATTAGACAAGGCTTGCTAAGAGGTGGGGGAGGCATGGCTCCACCATCACCAGGATGGATATACTTCCTTTCCTGCAAGGAAGTCTGGAGGTGTCAGAGGGCTGGAAGTTCCTGTTAAACCTGTCCATAAACCAAGTAAGCACTGGTCAAGAAGAATCATCTCCAGAACTCTCCAGGAGTCCATGGAGATGGAAGAGAGCAGAAACAAGAGATTGGGGAAAGAAGAGGAGAATTCAGGTTGATTTACCGTAATTGACATTGGCTCTCTAAGGTTTCAGGCAGAAATCTTTCCTACCTGAGGATTCCAGGGACCTTTCAAATGCAGATCATGTGCACTACTGCTGAGCTATATAGGCCTCCCTCGATGTTTAATTGTAATGCCATGCTTAAAAACAACAGCATACTACCATCTCTCTAGGTCAGGCTTGCTCAAACTCTGCCCTCCAGATGTTTCTGGCCTACAACTCCCATGATCCCTAGCTAGCAGGACCAGTGGTCAGTGATGATGAGAATTGTAGTCTCAAAACATCTGGAGGGCCGAGTTTGAGGAAGCCTGTTCTAGGTGCTGCAGATATGTAAGACACTTAAAGGATCAATGCAATCACTTACTTTGGTTTTGTGTGTTGTTTATCAGAGTGCCGGGTAATGAAAAGCAACCCTCCAACTACTCCAGGCAGCAAGTCCTCCCCAACACCTCAGAAGAGCTCTGCAAAGAGTCCAGCTCCTGTGCGCCGGAGCAAATCCCCAGCTGATTCAGGTAACCATCAGGATGGTGAGTGACACTTCTTTTCCCAGCAGATAAATTTTGGCTCCACCTGGAACTGGGTGATAAGTTAGCATCAGGGTCATTGATTCATACATTTCTCACTCATCTGTCACACAGGGCTGGCAACAGGAGCTTTGTGTCTTTAGGCATCTGCCAAGGTCCATAACCTGGCAGAGATTCTCTAGAGAACTGGCCCTGCCTACCTGTTGTTGTTGCTCCTCCTCCTCGCCACAGTCACTTGGCTGTCTTTTGCCCAATCCTGACACTTCATCGCCAACTCAGAGTAGGGATGCATGTTTCTCATTTTTCCAAGTTTACTCAGGAACGCTTGTTGAAAGCTCATTGAAAATTTGAGCACACTTTATCAACTGAATCATCTTTTTCTGTTTACTTGTTGACATTCTTCAAAGAACTCTACTAGGTTTGTGAGACAGGATACCTAACAGAAAGAAAATAAAATATAATAAAAATCCAGCAAAACAGTAACATGCAAAAATAAAAAGATGCGGAAATTTGAGAGTAAAGCCTATTACTAAAAATATATAAATTCAAACTCAGATCTATGAATGGCCCATTTCTTGACTAACAATGCTTACAAATAAAATCAAGTCTTCATTAGCCAGAACATCCATTATGACTTGCCCAACATGTTTCACCCTATGGACGTCTTTAGTGGCTCATATACACTAAAAAAATTGTATCTTTTTAAAATAAAGAGTTCCACAAATTCATCAGGGCAGTTGATTAGCCCTAAGATCATAGATCACTTCAGTGCCCTACAATTTAACCTACACATAAACACAGAATCTAAGACCATAAGAAGACCCTGGCTGCTGATTCAGGCCAAAGACCCAACTAGTCTAGCATCCTTTTCTCACAGTGGCCAACCAGTCGCCTCTGTAGGAAGTCCACAGGCAGGATCTGAGTGCAAAGAGTGCTCTCTCCCCACTTACAATTCTCAGCAACTGGTTTTAGAGGCATGCTGCTGCTTCTGACCGTGGAAGGAGAACATAGCCATTGTTGCTTGAAGGCATTGACAGTCTTATCCGCCATGAATCCGCCTAATCCGTTTTTAAGCCATCCACTACCTCTTGTGGTAGTGAATGCCCTGTGGGAAAGACAACTTTTTTTCTGTCTTGGCACTAGCATTCTGTTAGTTCGTATGAAACAGCAATGTTTGGTTTGGGGGTTTGCTTTTTTCTTTTCTTTTTTACGTGAATGACAAACAGGCTAAGTAAGTTTTGATTTGTAACAAATTGGAAGAGACACATGAGAAGAGAAAAAATGGTGCTGAATAAGAACACCATGAATAAAACATTACCTGGCCTGATTTTTGTGTGATGCTTATCTATTTTATTTGGTTGAAACAGCATATTCCTGAAACTTTTCATCTGTGACATGCCTTGACAACTTATTCCTCACCCTTACATGTTACAGTCACTTGGTCTTCTGTTTGACCGAGACGTGTTTTCCAAAACCTAACGAAAAAAGAATATTAGGCTAGAAATAAGATCAGCTTGATGAGTGCAAAACATCTGAATCTTTGCATATCTTTCCTGGTTTTTGGTTGTATAAGAAACAGAGTGTCTAGGTGAATTTATTCGTTCAATGTTTCTGCCACCCCCATGATAATCTATACCAGCACTAGTGATACTTGCTATATTCATGCCACTGACTGAAATTTTAAGACTGGTGATGACATTCGACATATTATTTATAGAGAAGTCACAGCTGTTTCTTCACCTGCAGTAGAAAAAAGCCCCTCAGCTTCTATCCAGTTTTTCAGCTTGTATGATAGTTTTGCATTGTACATGGATGCTGTCAGTTATTATTATTATTACTACTACCACCACCACCATCAACCTTTCAGCATTTGCATGCTGCCTTTTCAGGGCTAGCCCTCCAATGGCAGTTCACAGCCTACTAAAACAAAAATGCATCACAAAACAGCAACAAAAAAATGCTAGGGTAGTCAGTAATGCATTGCTAAATTTATATTGTACAACACTTAGATATTAAGTGATTTATAAATCTTTTTAAATAAAACAGAGGGGAAGAAGGATTTGCATTGAATTTGCACAGGTTCATTTATACGAAGATGCAAACGTAAAATGTAAAGATATAATTGAATATAATATGTACAGATGTAAAGAGGCAATCCATTTCACCACAGTGGGGGCAGAGTGTGACCTGGTGGCTTGTGCGCCTGATTAGTCTGCTGTCCAGTTGCTTACTGTGGATGGGCAACTTCAAGGCCCCTCCCCTCTTCTTTCCCTTCTTTCTTTTTAATCCAGGCTTGAACCTGGCAGCCCTTCCAATAGAGGGCTGCCCTCTTTAAAGTAAGCCACTTGACCACAGTATATCAATCCACAATCTCTACTGTAACAATAAATCAACAAAGACCCCAATAGACTGAAACAAGTGTTACCTGCAACATCATGTTATAGCATGGATTGCTGCAGAGCTACTACATATCCCTTTCCTGGATACTCCATTCCATTAATCTGGCCCCGCCCCTCTTATGCTTTTAGTGGGCTCCAACCCCTTTTAAAAGTACACGCAGACCTAACGTAAGAAGCAATTACTTGACCCAAAGCATTCACAAGTGATCAGCTGCACTGTGGATTTTGAGAAACAGGGAAATGTTCTGTTTTTAATAGAAAAGCTTGGAGTCTTTAAAATGAGATTTCATAAGTTTGCTTTCAAGCAGTGTTATTTATTCCCACTTCCAAGTTTTATTTTAACCATAATGACCTATTCATTCTGCTATTATTTCATGCATCAGTCCGAAATCATACCCAGATATGACCAAAGCTTGCTTCTTAGCCAGCCCTGCAAAAAACAAACGTAGCATCTTTCAGTTAGATGTATTTTTCATCCCAATATATATCAGTACTAAAAGATTTTACAGAGAAGTTTAAATGTATGATTTATTGGTGGCAGAGTGTTGCATCCTACTAGGATGTAATCAGATCAGACCCTTTAAAATGAATGGTCCTATGTTGGTCATGTCTATTAATTTCAATGGGTCTATCAAAAACATTTTTTTTTAAATGCCCGTGCAGATTTTCATTACAGCAAATAACAAACCAATCAAGAATTGTAACTATACCATGACAAAAGGAGATTTCTTTCAAGGCTCAACCTAGATCAGGTGTTCTCAAAGGTGTTGTAAGAGGCACCCCCAAATAAAAACAGAGAGAGAGCAAAGACTCCCCAAGTGTAACCAAAATGACACCATTAGGAAAATTAATCATTTTCTATAATGAAGTTCAATACAAAGGAAGGCCTCAAATGCCCTACTTTTAATAAAGCTAATGCATCTAATTAGACGTAGGGGAGGCAAAAAGACCCTAGAACTACTTTCAAAAACAGTGGAATCATTTTGCAACCAAGACGAAACCAAAATATAAACTGAATTCTATTCTCCTTTCAATAAAATATGTAAATTGTCCCAAATACTACAAATAATACACTTTCTTATTTGATCCATATTCGAACACTTCTGTAAGGTACTGCTACATACACACACTTCCATCTCCAAGCGGTGAGAGATTTTACTGGTCTGCATACCACAGGTTTGGTTTCCTCATTTTCTGGGAAAGCCCATGTCATTGTATAAAATCCTCATCGGCTTTCCAGAAAGGACAGTCAGGGAGATTGTGGAGTTCAGGGAATGAGGGCAAATATAAAGAAAACACACACACATCATCAAGCACCTCATAGCATGTCCAAAGCAGGAATAAATAATTCCTCTTTCGTGGTGGGCAGAGAATTTTACAAAAATTAGGGGGGGTTTTTTAGCTCAGCACTAGTTTGTACTAATTGGTCATTGCCAGTTGACTTTCCAACCTCAGCTTCCTAGCTATATCAAACCTTCGTTGTGTGATGTGGAGAGGATTCCATGTTGCTTTAAGGCCAATTAACATTCCCATGCCCTTTGCAAGTACCAGGGGGAAGATCCATAGGACATTGATTTTAAATTAAAACATGACCTTCTCATGCTAGTGTCTAGCAGGCTGAGCCTGAATGGGGAAGGCACGATCTTCTAGCCAGTGAGAATCTGGCTGGGCACTTCTCATTCATTGCTTCCCTAAAGGCCTGCAGAGAAAGTGATGCATTTTCACAAGACTGCAAGCTCTAGCAAAACACCCACAGAATGCCAGCCTGGCTTGATCTTTTGAATGTTTACCAAGAATCCTTATTACAAGTGGATCTATTGCGGTCTAGATAGTCTGCAAAGGAGACTTCTAGATTATTACTTAATGCTCTGGTCTGTATATAATGTAGCAAATGTTGCATTGTTTTCCTGCCCTCATCCCATATTTGCCTCCCCGCCCCCCCATTTTATGTTCTCTACAACAAGTCTATGAGGCAGGTTAACGTGAGCGTTTTTGACCCAAGATCAGCAGGTGAGCTTCTTATTGCAAATATAACAGACAGAAAGGAAATAAAGAATGAAAGATCCACTCACATTAACAATAAGAATAATCCACCAATCCTAATTTAAGCATATGTATTAATATAGGCAGTCCATACATATACATTGCTGGTATAGCACATGTGATAGAAAGAAGAGTTTCTTCGTAGACTTAAGCCTACTTCTCTCAGAGCTGGTAAACCTGTATTTATAGTTTAGGAAGCCAAGATGAGAACATGTTGGGGAGTTTTCCTTGAACCAGTACATTCAGAGCACATAGCACCTCACTCCAAAGAAAAATAGGAACTATTGTTTGTTAAGGATGATGGGAGCTTTAGCTCTTATGAGTTCCCCGGATTCTTTGGGTGAAGCCATGCGCTTTGAATGTGTGATGTGGATGTGACTCAAGTCAGACCTTTGGTCCGCCCAGCTCAATATTGTATCTACACTGACTGGCAAGAGCAGTTTAGGGTTTCAGGTAACAGTTTTTCCCAACTCAACATAGGTATATCAAGGATTGAAACTGAGGCCTTCTGTGTGTAAAGCACGTGCTCTGCCACTGAGCTACAACTTTATCTATAGATAATACCTTACATGATTGAATACTTCTCTGTACAAATGCATATACAATGGTACCTCGGGTTAAATATGCTTCAGGTTACAGACTCTGCTAACCCAGAAACAGTACCTCGGGTTAAAAACTTTGCTTCGGGATGGCAACAGAAATCGTGCTCCGGCAGCAGGGCGGCAGCAGGAGGCCCCATTAGCTAAAGTGGTGCTTCAGGTTAAGAATAGTTTCAGGTTAAGAACAGACCTCCGGAACGAATTAAGTACTTAACCAGAGGGACCACTGTATAAATAAATCCATGCACATAGAAAACTAGCTAGGGCAGAATGCTTTGCCTGACACCAAGCTTTCAGTATGGAGGGATTTTTTAAAATATATTTATTTTTTGGTACAGTCGTACCCTGGTTGTCAAACACCCTGGAACTCAGACCTTTTGGCTCCCGAACGCGGCAAACCCGGAAGTGATTGTTCTGGTTTGTGAATGTTCTTTTGGAACCCGAACATCTGATGGGGCTTCTGTGGCTTCTGATTGGCTGTAGGAGCTTCCTGTAGCCAATCATAAGCCACAATTTGGTTTTCGAATGTTTTCAAAGATTTTCTATGGAAGATCTACTGGCCTGCATTTTTTACCCTTTTGTGGAAAAATACCTTTTTGTGACTTTGCAAAAGGGCATTGTGCTGATGAAAGTTAAAGAAGTGTTAAAGTGCAAATTTAAAGTGCACAATTTTCAGCTCAAATCTTATCTTTCTTTGGAAGGAAAGGAAGGATTTAAATTCAATAAATAAATAAAAATAATTCAATCAAAACTGTTTCAAACTCAGCACTTCCTATCCTTCTTGCAGCACCTAAGTCATGTTTCAAAAACACGACCTGTTACTTGCAAAGCAAAAGATGTGTAGACAGACAGACAGATACCTCAACTGTGAGGTTGGAAAAGAAACTTCATCTGAACCAGCAAATCATGATTTAAAAGTTTTATTTTGGAATTATGCTTCATAAACTGGAACGTTTCAATGGGAAACTGAATAGGCATTAAAATATATATATTGTCTTTGTTCATTGCTGATTTCTCCTTTGCTTTGTACAGCCAATGGAACATCAAGCAGCCAACTGTCCACACCCAAATCGAAGCAGTCTCCAATCTCCACACCCACCAGCCCAGGGAGCCTCCGTAAGCACAAGGTATTACGTTTCTTATACCTTACTAAACCTCCTACATGATTATTACCTGCCTGCACCACTGAAAGAGTTTGGGAGGGCGGGAGGAGTACCTGGACTGCTCCACTGGAAATAGCCAGATGGTGGTAAGGCAGTCACTGGTTCAGCTGCAGTCTAGTAACTATAAAGGATCTCTATGCTTGATTCTGCATGGGGATGACATTTTGGTTGGTGGTGCAATCAACTGTTAGGGCTCACCCACTCTTCTGTGCTGGTTTCCCCCGGGGAAATCTGATCTTCAGCGCTGAATTGGGTTTTCTGCAGATTGATGTTTGCTCCAATTTAGCACTCAAGAGTGAGTTCTCTGGGGGAAAGCAGCAAGGCAAAGGCAAAACCACTTGAAGCCATGCCTAGAAAGCACAGGACAAGAGGGAAACAGCTCAGACTTGTGCTTTCTAGGCATGAGCAGTGGCGTAGCGTGGGGGGTGCAGGGGGGGGCGGCCGCACCGGGCGCAACATCTGGGGTTAGGGCAAATCCACAGGTTAGGGGGCGCAAATCCACGGGTTAGGGGGCGCAAATTACTTGCCTTGCCCCGGGTGCTGACAACCCACGCTACGCCACTGGGCATGAGGAAAGTGGAAGTGGATGAGCCCTCATACAGAATTCCTATTGCGCCATGCTGTCCAGGCACAGACCCACTCTTTAAACCTCTGTGTCCAAGTGTGGGTTTTTTGTCAAGACTCTGTGTTTTACCATTGAATTGGAGCAAATGGCAATGCATAGAAAACCCAATTGCAGTTTGCTTCGATTCGGTGGCAAAAACATGGATTCTCTCAGGGAAAGTGCTGGGACAAAAAACCAAAACAAAACTGTTTGGACATGGAGCTTTGAAGCCTGGGGCTGTGCCTAGAAATGCAACACAAAAGGAAGTCTGAATGAGTCATTAGTCTCAGCTGTCCATCTACATTTTTAGCAAGAATAGTGTATTGACCTTCCAGGATTGTTGTAAAATGTAAGGCTTACTGAAATCCTTTGAAAACAAACATACAGTGTGTGTGTGTGTGTGTGTGTGTGTGTGTGTGTGTACGCATACACATACATGTGTTTGTGCATGATATCTAATGTTTTCAAATATCTATACAGACAGAGAGACTTATAAAAATGATTGTCATTCTGGAAAGTACATTCTTTCATCTTCATTTATATGTACAGCAGATATAGTCATCTGTTGTATTTCTTGGGTGAGCAGGAAATAAGGCATATTGTATCATGAAAGCTGAAATGAATGGAAAGTATTGATTGATTAAGAATGGAGATTTTGTATATTGTGATCATAGTCACTTTCTACTCCAGACAATGGCCTAAGAATACCCTCATCATTGTTGTGGCATTCCACCCCCCCAAGCCCCCAAACCATGGAAATTGCTGTCAGTTATACATTACGGCAAATGATTTCCATTGATTTGGGATGAGCAAACATCCCACCTCAGGTAATCTCCTTCATAAATTATCCAGATTAATAAACTTGATCAATTTCCAAACATCCTCTCCAGACCTCTGGACCTATTTAGATTATTCTAAATAGCTAATCTGGATACGTTTCGTATTTGACCAGAAGTGAAATGGATCCATGAGGGTAGACTCCCTAAATACAGGCTTTAATTACAGGTTTGTTGCAATTTCCTGACTTCTCTTTCTCTGACTCGTTCACACTCTATTTCTCCACATGAATGCTTGCAGGGACCGAAAAAGTATTGTGCAAACCAGCCCTTAATAAGGACAGTCAGTCAGCAGGAGCTTTCAGAGATGGTAGTTTACATCAAAAAAAAATTCGAATCCTAATTGTGTGTGTTTCCTCTGCCCAGATTTTTCCCACTGTATATTTTCTATAGGAACTTTCTGCTGCCATCATAATGAGATACAGCCAAGTGAGACCCTGGTGAACCTCTACAATGTCTTCTTAAGATTAGTGAAAAGGACGACAGTTCAGGGGCAATAAAAGTTCCTTTGAGCAAGTGATGCTTATACATGAATCTAAAGGAACTGAAATGAATGTGATGGCTCTATGTATTAACTGCATCCATCACTAATGATGATTTTGTTCAACGTTCCTGGGGCTTCATTTGAATGGTGGTTTTGATTGAAACTGTAGCAGAAATATGTTCTGAAACACAGTACCACAAGCTCCCTCTGCTCACCAATGAAACCAAAAGTAAAGGTTTTAGGTCCTAAACCTATTCATTCCCCACATTTCATCAGCATTCCGTTCACATAGCATTTCATTTTTTCACCTGTCTGTTTCACTTTCTGGAAGGTGTAGATTTTCAAGGAAAGATCAGCATCAGAAAGGCTATGAAAAAGGGAGGTACTCCAACTATGTTACCTGTAGGCTGTAATGGACCACGGTGGAGCAGGTGCTGTTACCAGCTTACAGAAGGCTTTGGGTAGCTGGGATGAGGTTTGGGTTCTTTAAATGCATTCATTGAAGATTTAACAATACAGTATCAGGGGCAGACCTTAGTTATATGAAGCCCTGCAGGAGGCCAATTGATGCTGTCCCCACAGCCCTTACAACGCCAGTTTAAGTGCTTGCCCACTTTGGGAAGGAGGAAGGAGGACTCTAGGACCCTGTCAGAGCCCCTTCACACCTGAATGGTCAGGAGGTTGAGGACTCTCTTTGCATGGAGGTTTTTAAGCAGATGTTGGGTGGCCATCTGTCATGGATGCTTTAGTTGAGATTTCTGCATTGCAGGGGGTGGGACGAGAAGGCCCTTGGGGTCCCTTCCAACTCTAAGATTCTATGCTTCTATGACTGAGTTTACTTGTATACCGCTTTTTGCTCAATCAGCTGCACCAAAAGCAGCTTTCGAAACCTCAAAGTACAGAGAATTGAAAATGCAAATATACAAAGTGCAGAGCATGTCAGTAAATTAAAATAAAAAAATCCTGGCACTAAAACAATTTTAAGGTTTGTGCCAGGTGGTCCTCCCTGAGGAGACTATTCCATAAACAGGAGACTACTAGAGAGAAGGCTTATTTTCTTTTCCTCACACTCCATTGGAGGGTGGCATGCAGTGAAGAGCCTCAGATAATGATCTCAGATTCTTGACAGTAATATATGGGGAAAGGCGGTCCTTTAGATATAGTAGTCCTGAGTCATATAAAGCTTTGAAGGTCAAAAATAGCACTATGACTGGAACCCAGAAACCAATTGGCAACCAGTGCTGTTAGGACAGAATAGGTGTTATATGCTCATGCCTTCTTTTCCTAGTTAACCGTCTAGCTGCCACATCTTCAGTAGCTGTAGTTTCCACACAGTCTTCAAAGGCAGCCCCATTTGCTAACTGTCATCCCTGACTACTCTCTATGCTGACTGGGACAGATGGGCATTGGAGTGACAAATTCCCTAACACTGCTAAAGATGCCCTTGTAACAGCACTCACCACTTGGTCTCTAGGAAGATGAAGAGCAGATCAGGAAGTGGGCTAGAGGTCAGGAAAAGCATCCTAAACTGGTGTTAATCCAGAACTGGTGCTATATGTTCACACCTTCTTGTTCCAGTTAACAATCTGAGAGATACTTGTGCCTTGCAACACTGGGCTAAATGTCCGAATGTAAGATTGACAGGACTCCTTAGAAGGTCATGACTCCAGCAGACCTCTTCCTTTGTGCTTAGAATTTAAAGTGAAATATAGAGAAAAGCTTCATCAAAATTCGAGGAACTTCTGGAAACATGCTCAGCAGTAGAGCATATGCTTTGCGTGCAAAAGATCCCAAATTCAATCCCTGGCACTATAAAAAGTTCGTGTCTGAAACACAGGAAAACCATTAAAGTCCTAGACAGAAAAGAACTTTTTGAGGCTGTGTTTGGATCAAACTGTACTTGCCACCCAAATTCCTACTATGGAGCCAGAAACTCTGGACTTTGGCAACATTACTACTTACTGGAACTGGGGGGGCGGGAGGTGCAGGTCTCTGTCCACAAGCAAGTGGAAACTGGGCATACCAAGCACCCCACTGTATCTTTTTTGTTCATCAAAATGCTCAAATACTGGCAATTCTACTCCATTAAGCAATGAAAGACATGCAGATAATTACAAAGCTTTAGCAGGCATTTTGCTATTCCCTTATAAGGATACTTTTAAAAAATGTTGAGATTAATGCTTTATTCTGCCAGCTGCAAAGTACTGTATAATTGTATTTTGCTAGTGCTGTCACAGTAGCCTTCTGGGACAGGACTGCCTGTAGCAGCTCTAGGGTCTTCTAATTTTCCATCCCATGCTCCCTCCCATGCTCCTATGATGGATCATGGTATTGCATGCAAACTCATCTACAAACATAGAGTGATGGTGTTGGTTTCATTTGCAGTGACAGGTGGATCATGTGAAAAAATAGTTCACCAACAGAGGCAGATATCTTCCTATATACATAAAAATGTAAGGCTGTCATCACGTAGCTCAGGATTTGTAGTGCCACATCACAATCCTGATTTTGTATGAAATGAGGGTGGGATAAAGTGAGAAGGGGAAAGTGGTGGTTTAGAGCAACAGAAGATGCTTGAATACAGCAAGGATAGAGAAAGCTGAGAGGAATATAATGGTTTTAAACAACAGCAAAGGTTTGAGTAAAGTACCTTAATACAACGGAATATTTGAGGGCCCTGCATCCTTTATCTCTCTACCATGAGGCAGCTGAGGAATGGAATAGAGAAGGTTCAGTATAGTGAGACGGATGGTACACTGAAAGGGGAAGAAGTGGCTGTTCTAAACAATAACAGAAGTTTGAGTAAAGTGGAGATGGAAAGACACAGAGGGAAAATGGCAGTTTCAAACAATGGCAGAGGTTTGAATAAAGTAAGAATGGAGCAAAAGTGTGAGAGAAAAGTAGCATTTTTTAACAGTGGAAGAGGTTTGAGTACAGTGATCAGGAGATGGCAATGAAGGGAGGGGAAGCAGCAGTTTAAAAAAAGATTTGGGTTAAAATAAGAATCCCCTGGAAAGAGGAATAGATTTTAAACCACTCTGAGAATTGTAACTCTGTAAGGGGAACAGAGGTCTCAGTACCCTTAGCAAACTACAGTTCCCAGGATTATTTGGGGAAAACCATGTTTAAAATGGTATGACACTGCTTTAAATGTATATTGCAGATTGGGCCTAAGTCTGCAATGATTATTTGTGCACCGAGTCACTGAAGCAGTTCCTCATTGATGCAGAAGAGGCTAATTGTGGGAGTTAACACGTTTTCCCTTTCTCCTTACAGGACTTGTACCTGCCTCTATCCTTGGACGACTCTGATTCCCTTGGAGACTCCATGTAAAGAAGCCCCCTTCCCTGTGTCCACACTCCATTTTAGATATAGCACCACACTTCTGCCAAAAGGAGCAGAGAGGTCACTGGTGCAAATCCAAGGATACAAAAGTTATGTCTTTTCTTTTCCTTTCCTATATTTCTCCTCTGTGCCACAAAACCAACACCTATGAATCCACAGAGATAAAGGGATACCGATCATCTGAGTAACTTCATAGGAAAGATAAGTGGCCATTATTGGCAGCTTGAAGTCAGAAGGCTTGAATCCTCATGCTCTTCTCACACATTTTAGCCCAAGTGTTTCCTTTTCTTAAAAAACCCCCCCTATAATGTACTGGCTTTTTTTATTTGGCTGCCGGTCAGGTGACAACTTTCTTTTGCAAATGTTCCATTAGCAACTCTGTCCAAAGCCCAAGAGTGGAAACAGGTCTATCCACCAGCACCTCCCTCCCCCCCCCAAATACCAATGAATACCAGCAACTCTGCAAAAGCAGACCTGTTTCCAATGCTGGGTCTCTGAGTATAACACCTGCATATTGTCTGATGTTAACTCACAGCCAGTGGGAGGCAACTCTTGTCTCTTTGTGAACATCCATATAAGTACAAGGGTGACATGACAATGCTAAGAAATAAAGAGCTACATATCGTGATTTTCTCCTCAAATAGGACACAGGGATATGTTCTAATAAACACACAAAGTTGTTTTAGCGGGGTGGGATTTGGGAAGCCACCCTGCTGGCTCTGCTTGCCAACTCTGCTCTCCATCTTTTCCTCTTCCTCAGTTGTACCTCAATCTCCCAACCCACCTCAGCTGAGCAAAACTCACCTTGGCCTCATTCCCTCACCCTACCATATTCTCTTCAATTGCCCCAAATCACCTCAGCCCCATCTTTTTCCTCCCCTTCTGTCTCACTCCTTCCAATGTGCTCAGCCTTTTTCTTCCTTCTTTGTCTGGTCTCCCTCCAAATCACATAAGCCCCATCTTTTCCTTCTCCACTTCACCTCAGCACCCCACCATATCCATGCTCTCAGCCCTGTCTTTGCTTCCTTTCACCTGAGCACCTTGGGCCCTATCCTCAAATCCTTTGTCTTCCACCTATACTAAAGTCCTACCACCTGCCCCATCCTCACCATCAGCTCCCCCCCCCACATTTTTGATCAGATGGAACCAGCCCTGGTCCTGAGGCACTCCATGGCTGCAGAGATGATGGCTCCACTGCCCCCTCAATGCCCTCTGCTTTGAGGCCATTGGTCACACATATACGTACATTTATATATACATACATTATGACCAGCAATAAACATGGTCTGGTTGATATGAAGTTACTGAAATGGTATCTCTCTATCTCTGTGGAGACTATCAATGCCTTGCAAACAGCCAACACTGAAAACACTGTGAAAAAAAATTGTTTTTCAGGTCTAACACCTTCAGCTTATTATTAATTTTTAATAACAAGAAATCCATACAACTTTTATAGAGGAAAACAAATAATGTTAGCTGTGTCTTAGAGTCAGCTCTTCAATATCCTTTTTTTAAAAAAAGAAAACTGGTGACTTTCTTTTGCTTTTAAAAAAGAAACAAAATTTTTAAAATATACAAAAAAAAAAAGTTCAACACAGTAAGTGTTTTGAAGTCACTGCCAAACTGACATCAGAGGTTCATAAAATGGGAGGGGTCTGCATGGGGTGGGGGAGGGATATCACAATTAATTCAAAATGGTTAATATTTGAGAGTGTTTGTAACATGCTTAAGGTTATGTTCTTAATTTTCTGTATTTCAATAATTCTAACTATGGCCAGATGCTCAGACTGTAGAACTGTTAGGATGTTCATGATACGGTATTATAAACTTTTATCTTGAAGCAGTGCATTATAGTGAAATGGGAAGAAAAGGAATCCATTCAATTTTTTTAAAAATAAGCATTGATGCAAAGTTCACAGTTTTATACAGACCTGCCATTTTATTTACTGGGTCTGGATACACGTACCAGATAATATTGTGCATTGCATTATTCCTTATTTGTAGGAATAAGCTCTACATAATCTTGCAAAATGTTATCAGAGCAATACCCATATAACCAACCTTGGGGATTGCTTTCCCCACTCTCCTTTAGATTCATTTGCAAACCGTTGTGAGTTTAGAATGTATTGCAGCAATTGTACTTTTGATAAGGTTATGTTTTCATTTTGCAATTTCATTATGTGAGCCACCTTGGGCAATTTGCATAAAGCTGAAAGGCATATGGAAATTTCTAATAATAAATAATACTTCACACTGGGGTACTTAACTCTACAACAACTTTTGGCTATTAGAGGAAGACAATGCTTTGGCCCAAAGTTGGTATTTGGTGGTTAGCTTTTGCATTCCTTACCACTGGCATTTTGTGATTCATGTGGCAATGTGGATAAGCCAAGCTTTGCAGTTTTGTTTTAATTATTTTTTAAAATAGAAGGTTTCAGACTACCCAATGGCTGCAGTTTTAGTAGAGACCCTGCATCACAAGGGCAAGTGAGGATCTACCCTTTGTTGAACCAAGCAGTTAAAACCTAGGGTTTCCTTATCTCTATGCCATTGTTTGGCCAAAGCTATCTAAACTTTGGTTCAGAAGATTCACATTCATGTAAGTTCAATGGTCAGATCACTGTGGAGAAGGCTGGCATTGAGGACAAAGCATTAGGGAAGGCCTACAGGAAAAAAAATCCCAGTGTGTGTTTGATATCTGGCAGATCTGGTGTATGAATTGGAGGCAGGTCTCTTAATTTCTCTGTGCCTCAATTTACCGTATCTGTCAAAATAAGGACAGTAATACTTTCTCTACCTCATGGGAGGGATTGGGAGGGTTGGCCAGTGAGTCCTTTCGTTGATGCTGTTAAATATTTTTTGGATCATCTGGTGGGAAAGTGCTGTCTGTGACCTCCTAGGGACTAGTATTGAGGAAGACTTTGGAAAGATTGTCAGGTTTTCTTTGGTCCAATTCCAGTGATGGCTTTCTTGGGGTTAACTTAGAAGGCACTGTTGCTTGCTAAAGCTGCCAAGTGGGCCCTGACACAGAGCCAGTTCATACCCACAGTTGTCAGCACCAGAAGCAAGCAAACTCTGTATGCTCACTGACCTCACCCCTCACAGAGGGGCACTGTGTACCATATGAGGCTCTGAATCCTGGGCATAGAGCGTAGCATAGATTGTGAACTGCTTAAGGCCCACACTCCAGTCTACTTGGAGATGTGTTTTGCTTGTGATGTTTGATCTCCTGTTTCTCTCCTCTCAGTCTTGATAGGCTGCTCCCAATTGCCCCTCAGAGTGTGACCGGGAGCATGCACTGGATGAATGTGGAACTGAGGAATTGTTTCTGTTATAATGATGATAGGGAAGCAGTACTCCACTCCACCATAGCACTGTTCCTTAGTAACATGGAGGAATAATGCAAATATTGCTCCATCCAGGAACTAAAGGTCTTTGTAATAATGTATAATACAATCTTCACTATTTCAATAAGCAGGAAGAAAATGATCCGCAATACAGAACACACACCACCTCTCCTTTTCCTGTCCCCTACCCCCCAAAACAGATCCTACACACAATTGGGTACAGTCCATTTGATTGCTGGTTTTGTGCAAGGCCCAAAAACTGAGCCTATGATTGGCAGGAATACTGTAGTCTTTTGAATGTTATACTCTGTTCTCCCCTCTTCATCATGTCCACAGGAGACAAAGCTAGATGGCTAATGCTATTAGCCACAATAGCTACATGTAACCCCAGAGGCAATAAACCTCTCAATGTCAAATGCTGGAGGCAAACAGTTGGGAAAAAGCTGTTGACTTCATCCCCTGTTTGTAAGCTTTCCAGATGCTGGCCCCTGTTGGTAGACAGAATGTTGGGCTTTTGGTCCAATCCAGCAGGGCTTTTCTTATATTCTTAAGTAGAACATTGTTTACATGGAGTATTTTCCCATTTACCAACAACAACGTGTTTATTTAAACAAGTAATACAGATATAGGCATTTTTCTTTGATTGCACTTAATAGTGGCATATCTGAGAGCCTGGACCAATATGGACTCCCTTGCCTGATGTGCTCCAATAATACACATCACTCTCTGAATAAGGGCCTGGCAAGATGAGGCTTTTGTAATAGTTTGTGTTGCCACGCATTGCATCAGCAAGCAAATATACAGCAGCCTAGTGGAAAGAGAAGGTAGATCTTTTTTCCCACAAGGAAAAGAAAAGCCATTCAGACCTGCAAAAGTGAAACAGGGTAAAGG